GAAAGGTGGGGGAAACATTGTAACTTTGCTTTTCCAAAATCATTCATTCATGTCCACTAAAATCTTGCTGTGACTCTGAATAGATCATCAGACTTTAATAAAAATGTTACAATTTATTTTTTTTTATTTCTTATTCTCACAATAAACTTGTATCCAAACCTAAAGGAATTAGGGTGTATGAGAATTACCTATTTATTGGCATAGATTCTCACAGTCATAGAGGGCTCCTGTGTCCGTGGATAGTGAAGACCATCTTGTTCTGGAATTGGAGAATTAAAAAGGAATTGGGAAATCTGCCTTCCTTGTTTTGCTGATGAAGAGAGTAAGGACCAGGATGATAAGGCAAATTGCCTAAGGTCCCAAAGTAGTTTGGAGTCCAGGTAGATATGGAAATAAGCCCTTTGCTTTTTGGCTGGCCTCTCTCACTAGATATATCGAGACATTTTTAATTAGTCCATAAGGGTACTTATTTGGCTGGAGTCTTTTCTCCCCATTCTCTGCTCCCATCTTCCCTTTAGATTTTAGGACCAAGTTGGAGGCTCTTAAAAAGAAGGTTAGTCTTCTGTCCCAGAGTGGGATGACCTACACATCCTGGTCTGCCCAGGACCCTCCAGGTATTGGCATGGAAATTCTCACAGCCTGGGAACATCATCAGTTTCAGAAAAACCAGGACATGTTTCACCTTCTTCCAGAAAAGTATATATTCCAGACTCTGCAGTTTGCCATGCTGGATTACCAGAGAAGCTGCTGATCCACAATCTGCCAATCCATCAGCTCCCAGCGTTCTCTTCTGCTTGACATCCCATGTCTCATGCATGAGTTTGTCACCATGTTCCATACAATGGAGGTTCAGATTCTGGTTCTGTCACATACAGCTGGGGGACATTAGTCCAGGGGTTGAATTCACCTGTGCCTCAGTTTCTTCATCCATAAAAGGGAGGATAATAATACATCATCTCTGCAGGAAGTTGTAATCCTCTGCGTAGCATTTCAGTGGCCTACTTTTCAAGCATATTTTGATGATCTGCACAGTACTCAGAGCAGTGACTGCAGAGTAGTATGTGCTCAATAAATGTAGATCTTGCTAGGAAATCCCTGCTTCCTTTTGCCTCAGAATTCAGTTTATCTCCTCTACAGACCCTGATGGCTGCTTATCCAATGTCTGTTTTCCCTTTCTTCATTCCCAGTCAGGTTATCAACGAGTCTGGTTAAGAACATTCACTTCCCCAGACTCCCTTAGCAGCCAGGGATGGGCATGTGACCCTGGTCTGCCCACATAGTCTATGAGCAGAAGCTCCTGGGTAGGGCTGCCAGAAAACCTGGTGAATGGCTGGACTCGGGTTTGTGTCTTTTCAGGTCTTTGCTTTCTGTCCTCTGTGAGGGTTGCCAAACATAGGAATTCTACCAGAACATCATTCATTGCTTTTCTGAAAATCAAATTAATGAGATGTGTTGTATTTTTGTAAATTTGGCAACCCTACTCTGCCCTTCTTTTTTTCCTTCATGCCTGGTATGTAGATACCATTACCTGGAGTGCAAACATTATCTTGAGACCAGTGGCCATGAGTTCAGGATAGTGGTAGAGAAAGACTGAGGGAAACTGGCCACTGCGGTCATGATAGGGTCTCTCTAGAAGCCTGAATTGATGAAGCCACTGCTTCTTTATAGACAGCTGAAGGGAGTCCCTATCTAGTATGTTTATGGGGTATTATGGTTTAGATGTGGTGTCCCCCAAAATCTCACATGTGAGACAATGCCAGAAGGTTTAGAGGAGAAATGATTGGGTTATAGCCTTAACCTAATCAGTGTATCAATCCCTGATGTGACTGAGTGGAAACCCAAGGCAGGTGGGTGTGGCCAGAGGAAGTGGTCCACTGAGACCGTGGCTATAGGGTATATATTTTGTATCTGGAGCATGGAGTCTCTCTCTCTCTCTCTCTCTCTCTCTCTCTCTCTCTCTCTCTCTCTCTGCTTCCTGGTCATCATGTGGGCTAGTTCCTTCTGCCACACTCTTCCGCCATGATGTTCTGCCTTACCTAGAGCCCTGAGGAATGGAGCAAACTTCTATGGACTAAGACCTCTGAAACCATGAGCCCTCAAATAAACCTCTATAGTTGTGCTGGTCAGGTCCATTAATAAAAAAAAATTGACTAAAACATAGGGCCACAAGTTTTATCCTTCTCTCCTTGTTAATTTCTCAGTATCAGTCTCCTCTGGGAATACTCAACTCCTGGTCACAATGATCACTTCAAGTCCAATCCCTCTCACATTGGAGTTTCCTAGTTTCCCTCTCTTTTTGTATCACCCTTCATGATTTTCTTCAATGTGAGCGTGTTATAGCTTCTGAATCTGCAAAATCACTGACCTCCAAGGGTTTAAAAATGGAAACTTTGATATATTTTAAGCACAAATTTATGAATATACCTATGTACTTATCCTAAAATAGTGATAATTTTCAGTAAGTTTAGTTTGTGTTTAGTGCAGTTAATTTAATAAATTCTTCATTTTGAACTTAAAAAGTTGTTTTTTTCCAGAAAAATCAGTTTCTCCCTTCCCCCATTAAGTGTTAAACCAAGTGTAAAGAATATTGATGTGAAGAACTGTCAAATTCTTGGCCCACCCAGTGATCCTCCCAACCCAGGCTGACTGCCAACCCAGAACCCGATCAAATTCAACTTCCAGCTCTTTTCTCCAGTAAATATGTCCGGTTTAGTGCACCAAGGAATAGAGCAAAAAGATTCACATCAGAAGTTGCTGTCTGGCTCAGAAACCTCTCTGAGGTTTCCAGTATAGCATGATCATCTGCCTCCCAAACTCCATGTTGTTGTTGCAGTCTACAAGGACTGCCTTGTCCCCACACAGACTCCACTCCATTTTCTATCTTTCCTGCAAAGAAGCAAAGGCATGTACCAGGAGTCTTGCCTTTACCTATGGCATTAATGCCTCAGAGAACACCCTCCTCACACTCTTTCCTACTTTGTATCCTGCTATCCATTCAGGACTAGCTTTCAGAGCTGTTTAGCTGTAAGGACCTTCCCTGCAGTTCAATTGTGTTCATTCTTGCCTTGACTTGCAGGGATGAACAACAGGAATTCTCAGTTTTCATTGTATTTCCAGCCAGGGTGAGATTTCTAGCACAGTATGATATACAGCAAACCTGCTTACCAACATATTACATACTCTCTGTGCCTGAGATCCCTTAAACACATGCAGAGAGAACAGATTAACAGTGCGTGGTCATACTTCTTATTTGCAAAAGCTCTTCTTATTTTCAGAAAAAAAAAAGTCTCCACTTTGTCTGCCTCTGAGAAGTTTCCATTCCCCACACAGAGCAAGCCCAATGCTGCTGAAATCAGGGCCTCCTGTAGTCACAGCACTTTGCAGTATAGCACAGCCTTCTGGGCTCCACACAGACAGCTCTTCATATCATCACTGCTCCAGAAATGGCCACATGACTTTTGTCTTCTCATTTGGTGTCATTTTGCACTTATCACAAGGCACCCAGAGTATTCAGTCCCTTGCTTCAGAATCTTTCCTTTAGATTAGGGATTGGCATACTACCTGGTATGCAGACCATATCCAGTCCCATCACCTGTTTTTTAAATAAAAACTCATTTCTTTACATATTATCCATAGCTTCTCTCATGCTCCAATGATGGTTGCGATAGAGGCTTCATGGCCTGCAAAGCCAAAAATACTGATTTTCTGGCTATTTACAGATGAAATTTGCTGGCCCCTGGTCTAAATCACCAAGAACATAAGCAAAATAGTCATTATGAGTGAGCTTTTCTATCACCATGGTCAAATATATTGATGTGGCTTTTTAATTTATAATTGTTGCTTTATTTATTATTTTGGCCTACAATATTGAGATGCATACATGATATTGGATGACTGGCTTTTGGCAATTGAGGAAATGAAGTAAGACCTATAGAAAATGAGAGGCAGAAGGGGAACTGATGTTTCTGGGCACTTTTGTAAGAAGTACCCCTTTTCTGGTCAAGGCTGGATCATGTCATGACAGATCACAGTGAGGAACAACCATTGAGTTATCTCCAGGTTATCTAGAACCAGCAGAGCAGTCATTACCTACAAAATAGCAATGCTAACTCCCCCAGACAAAGTAAAATGATTAAGTTGGTTGTCAACAGATGGACTCCATGGTCCAATAGATTACTAGTTGATCACCCACAGGCAATTGTGTATTCTCAAAAAGGAAATGGTATATTGAATAGAAAACAATGCATTTTTAAAAACATATGGCTCAAACAAGATAGATATGTACGTTTTTCACTTTTATGCAAAGACCCAAAGAAAGGACTGGTTTGATTGTCTTCAGGGTCCCAGACTCCTCTGTGTTCTTTCTGTTTTATCCACCTAGTATGTGGCTTCCAGCCTAAACATCATCAAGACAGATGCTGTAGCTCCAGTCATTATTTTCCACTTGTAAGTTAAAAGGAAGAAAGCTGAAGTGGTCTAGCATGCACATAGGAGTCAATGCCTTTTAGAAAGGCTTCTAGTTGATACCACCTAATACCTCAGCTCCTCTATAGGTCAGTATTCTGCAAAGAACCACACATAGGATATAGACATGAGACAATGGACAGATGGGCAAATAAACAGGTATATATGGATGGAGATGGGTATAGATGAGATAGATCTGTAGATAGATTTACCTACAGATAAGGGGATTTACTGTGGGAATTGACTCAAATGATTATGGAGGCTAAGAAGTACCATGATATGCTGGCTAGAGGTTGGAGAACTAAGGGAGTCAGCAGTGTGGCTCAGTCTTTGTCCAAACACCTCAGAAACAGGGGAGTCAATGGTATAACTCTTAGCTCAAGGCCTTAGGTCCAAGAACCTGAGGGATTACTGGTAAGTCCAACAGTTCAAAGGCCAGGGAAGCTGGACTCCAAGGTCAAGAAAAGAAAGGTATTCCACCGACAAAAGAGAGAGTGAGCAAATTCACCTTTTCTTTTCCTTTCTGTCCTCTCTAGGCCCTCAGCCAAGCAGATGGTGCCCACCCACATTGGATGAGGATGGATCTTCCTTAATCAGGCCATAAAATCAAATGTCGACCCCCCTGGAAATACCTTCACAGACATCCAGAAATAATGCTTTTTATCAACTACCTTGGGAACTCTTAATATAATCAAGTGGGTACCTAATATCAACCATCTCATTGGCCCGTTCACCTGGCCACACCTACTCACAAGGGAAGTCAGAAGCTATAGTCATTTAGGTGAATATGTGGATAAAGCTAGAAATCTGTTATTAAAGAAAAGGGGGCAGCCAATTAGCAATCTCTGCCTCCTACTGGCACATGAAAACTCTGAGGAGGAAGCTCACCCACTTAGATTTGCCTTTATGAATTTTCTCTGACTTTTGTACTCTGTCAACAGAGAATGGGACAGCTGAAAATGACATTATTTAGACTTTGTGCCCATCATTTCACCACACATTTTTTTTTTCCAGAGGAGGCTACCACAAGAGGGAATTTGATGGATGCCAGTGTCCATGGATGAGAGAGGGGATTGTACCCTGTGTTGTTTTCATGCTCCAGAGAAAGGAGAGTCTGGAAATGCCAGGAGGACAAACATCTTGTGGGTTTGGAGTCCTCCCATCTGTCCACTTGCAGTCTCACTTGAACTCATTTCCCTCAAGGAAGAGGAGAAAGAGTCCCTTGTCAGTACCTTGGACGAGGGGCTCTGCCCTCAGTGGCAGCTACACACACAGAGGAGGAGCACAGTGCTCAGTCCCTCGCACCCCTCTGAAGAGCCACTTGATGGCATCACCTAGGAATGTGGTCACAGTTCCTGCCTGAGTTACACTTGCTGTGTAAATAAGGAGCTAAAATAGATCCTTGGCAGGGGTGAGGGGTGTTATGAGGTGAGGAGCCCTGAGAGGACGGCTGTTTGTGAGGAAAGGCATAGCACTTCCTCACTTCCTCACATAGCACTTATCCTGAGTGTCTTTTCTGCATCCTTTTGAATACTCCTCTGCAGTCCTAAAAAAGAAAAAAAAAAAGGAAAAAGAAAAAGAAAGTACTAGCAGGGAAATGGATGGCATTAGAGCAGATTATGCTAAGTGAAGCTAGCCAATCCCTAAAAAACAAATGCCAAATGTCTTCTTTGATATAAGGAGAGTAACTAAGAACAGAGTAGGGAAGAAGAGCATGAGAAGAAGATTAACATTAAACAGGGACGAGAGGAGGGAGGGAAAGGGAGAGAGAAGGGAAATTGCATGGAAATGGAAGGAGACCCCCAGGGTTATACAAAAGTTCATACAAGAGGAAGTGAGGGGAAAGGGAAAAAAAATACAAGGGGGAGAAATTAATTACAGTAGAGGGGGTAGAGAGAGAAGAGGGGAGGGGGGAGGGGAGGGGGGATAGTAGAGGATAGGAAAGGCAGCAGAACACAACAGACACTAGTATGGCAATATGTAAATCAGTGGATGTGTAACCAATGTGATTCTGCAATCTGTATACGGGGTAAAAATGGGAGTTCATAACCCACTTGAATCAAAGTGTGAAATATGATATATGAAGAACTATGTAATATTTTGAACAACCAACAACAAAAATTAAAATAAATAAATAAATATTAGTCTCATATTTAAAAATTAAAAAAAAAAAAAAAAGATTCCGGGGGAGCCAGGAAGCTGGAGAGAACAGAAGGCAGAGGAGGTCACTCAGCCGAGCCCTGACTGCCCAGGAGGCAGGGAGCTCCCCAGGGAGACATGCAGGGTGGGCTGGTGGTGGGGCCATGTCATGAGGAGCCACAATGGTAGCCATGTGTCACTCACCAAGAACCCCACCCCCTGCTCCTTAAATCACATGCCTTGACCTCCAGTAAGGGCCTTGAGAAAGAAGTAAATAGCAAGCATGCTGCAGGAGGGGAGCTGGGTTAAGCCCCCACAGAGCCATGGGATTTCAGGCCTGGTCCAGAGTCCCTCCTTCTACCCACCTGCAACACCAAAGCCACTCTGATGGCATTATTTTCTGTCACTGCCCATTGTAACCTGGCCTTCCTCAAGAAAATAAACAAGAATTAAAATAAAATGGGAACAATGATACAATACTATCCCCAGGAGGCCAAATGTTACTTTTCAGGGAAGCTGGATATTCTTCCCTGATGGGCTCTATACTCCAAGACAACTGTCCTTTTCAAGTGGCCTCATACCTCATGTTGAATACATTTTTTACCCAAGTCAGAGGCTATGTGACAGCATGTTAACAGAAAACCCTAGTTTGATGACCTATGGGTTCCCAGACCCAAATCTCACTGCGCCTGAAGACATTTTTCCAATGTCTGTCATCTTTAGCCACTTGCTCCCCAGCCCTCCATCACCCCATGCAACCCACAGCACTGATCTTCCACCACATGTCCATGCTGACCTCCAAGGAGACACAGGCCGGCCATGACCACAGGTACACTAAGCTATATTCTCAGAGCACTACTCTGTGCTCTCCAAGGTCCCATAGGTTTGGACCAAAGGAGCGCATCGTCCAGATCTGCACCACGGGCCCTCTTAGTGCAGGTTCCAGGCAATTAGTAGGCGAGCAGGGTGGGACATTCCCAGCTGCTTGGTCCTAGTGGATAAGCCCTTGCTTATGAGAGATGCTGAACCCTGAACAAGTCTCAACTCTTCCAGTAGTTTTCCACAAGGGGGTTAGCACAGAGACAGCCTCCATTTGATGTTTGACTCCTCATAAATATGAACCAAGAGCACTAATCCTACCAGTAAGTAAATTGCCTGTGTTTGGATTATAATTGAACTGTTTTGCTGCAAGCCTTGCACTTGGAAAATTATAGCTTTATCGCAATGAGGAGCCAGAAAGGGTTAATTCACCTCCAAAGGGAGCATAGTTCACTCCTTCCTCTCCGGAAGGATCAGATCAAGAGGTAATTATAAATGACTGACAACCTTATTTATATTTTTATTGAGCTATAATTAAGCATTATAGTATTCATCTTCATTATTCCAGCAATTCCACTTTGGATACATCTTCAGAGGGAGAATTTGGAAGTCATAGATCAGACTTCTCCTAATAAAGCCTCTTTTAAAGGATGAAAAGTCACAATTCTGAGGGACAAAAACTTGATCTGAATTAGTAGTTCTATTCCCAGAGCCCAGTGTAACTCTCAACTGTCACTTGCTCATCCCAAGGTAGTAGGACGATGGGAGAGTTCACATGCCCTGTGGGCTTTCCTCCATGGCCAAGAACTAAGGACACCTGTGCAAGGCTCAAGGACCATCTTCAAATAAATATTGAAAAGCAGATCTAGATGCCATAGGGAAGACCATTTGGATTCATGTTTAAGAAAGTCTAAACGATAAGGTTCCATGGGAATGTTGGATAGTCAACTAATTCACAAGACAGACATGCACCCTGACAGTTTGAGTAAGAGCTGGATAATAATAGCATGAAAGACATGTAGGGCATATTTTCTGACTATGGCAAGTGGCCTGAGTGAAAGAGCAAGGCATGGCAGTACAGACACAGAATAAGGGGGATAGGGAACATGTCTAGAAAAGTAAGGGGGAACTTCGGAGGAGGTGGCCATAGATCTGAACCTCTAAGTTATAAGGAAAGGGAGAGAACATGTGTGAAGGACTAGATAGAAAAAGAGATTTTTCAAGCTCCTGATCTGTGTGGAGCAGACTGATTGAAGAGAAGAGTCCTAACAGTTGGGATTAAAGAGCTGTAACTGGTCAACCACTTGCTGGAAATACTGTAGTAAGAGTGGAAGACAGAATGAATGTTATTGACTTTTTCAATTTGGGGATGATTAATTTGCCATCATGGAAGACCTCATTGTAGCCCAGATGTCAAAAGAACTATGAAGCCTGTTCCATGTCTTTGCTTGGAATAAAGCCAACAGATACTAAAGCACATCCTATTCCCTAACTTGAGCCCTAAAACTCATCGTTTCAGATCCTGCCTGCCTGAGCAGTCCCAACTCTTCGCCTGCCCATTCCTCCCTCCCTAGTTCAGTCTCTACACTGCACACTGCACATGATCTTTCTAAAACCACACTTGGTTAGATTATTTAAATAAATAATTCCTTATTATGTACAAAATAACGTACAAGTTAATGAGCAAACTCTTTCTTGGCTTTATCTCTTCCAGTTTTTACTCTAATAATCTCAACTACATTTAACTTCCAAACTCCATTTCACCCATCTCTGTGTCCGTCAACACTTTTTTGCAGATCCACCCACCTCTAAGCTGGAGCAAAAGATGACCACAGACTGCATCTGACTGTCTCTGAGAAACTTCCTCAGATCTATCCCTTCTCCAGTTATGAGCTAATACTAAGGACTTTCCCCTGCTCTCTTGTCCATCCTCCTTATATTCATGCAATCAGTTCTCAATGGCTCATGGACCACAGTTACAAGCCCACGGTTGCAAGCCCATAATTGCAATCCTCTCAGTCCCACCTTGGTTGGGCAGTGTAGTGGAGGACAGTAGACAAAGATTGATGCACATCATTCTATCTCGACTCTTAGCCTTTACTCTTGTGCTTTCTTCTGCCTAGAACACCCTTCCCTCATTTCTTCACCTAGCTATCTTGTTTTGATCATTTAGCAATCAATCTAAAGTGTTATTGCCATTAGAAGCTGTACATAAGCAACCAGCTTGATCTAATTCTCCCTCTTCTCTGCTCAGTATATATACACAGAATGTAGATATATATTATACATATGTGTCCCATATTTGTACATGTATACATATATGTATCTCATTATACATATGTGATTAATATACATTTAACATATATATATATAATATATACCAAATATATTTAAATTATCTGTTAGTATGTGCATGTCCCCCATTGTATGATCCTTAATGTTATCACTGCCTCACAATTCTGTATATATCTCATTTCATCACTCTCTGCATATCATTTAGACACTCACTAAATGCTTATAAGACTTTAAAAACTAAACAAGGAAAGTAAATTAGAGAAGCAATTGTAAAAGGTAATCCTTGACCCTCTGGTCCTAGAGAGTGGCATGTACTGAAAACTTAGAATAGCTCATCTAAGCAGATGAAGCAATCACAGCTTGGACATTTACCCAGGCCTAACACTGTTTAGATTTAGATTGGAGGGCCTGAACTTAGCCTTGATTGGCTGAACTCATTCTCAACTCTCACAGTCCTTCATCTAAATCTCTTTGAGGGTACTTGTGTCTTTCTACTTTTATATTCTGTTGTTTTATGACTTTATGCCTCTTTACAGCTAACGTATCAACTCATGGATGATTGTGCCTAGGATATAGTTGGTTCTTTTGGCAAATAAATATCTTTGGTTGCATTCACACCAACCATTCTGTGTCCCTAATGAGTTACATGCTATGATCAAATTCAGTGTAAATATCAACCTCACATGTAGAGAATTTCAGCACTTGCCAGCTGCTATTGAGGACACCAGGAAAGATCCTTCATATAATACTGAGATCACAAACAAGTGGAAGCCTAAGGATCACTCAGAGTTTCCCAAAAGTACCAGAACAAGATGATTTTTAACGTTGCGTGCATAGCTATGTTTTAAATATTTGCAAATAGGTACCTACTTTGAACCATTATATTTATTTTAAAGATAATAAGAATGATTAAATTCAAATAATTGTATTCAAATAAATAGCAACAACAAACATCACTCTGATTAACCCATAAAAGAACTACTGTGAGATTCAGATCCTATAAGTGAGATTCAGATCATTTAAGAATCTATTTGGCCTAAAAGGATTGTGTTAAGACAGAAATAAGGGCACAATGTATTATATATAAAATACTAACCACATAATTCACTTCACACCACAATAATATTAATGATGACTGACATGACTTGCATGGGACTTTTTGTCTAAGAAGATTACATCATAAGTGCAAATAACCATGTAATTGCTCTAATGTGAACTTAGTTTTAATCACAATACCAAGGTTTGATCTTTGACAATTCACCAGACCATTATCCAAAAGAGAACTTATAAAATGTTAAATTGGACTATTAGAACCCACTTTATTCTTGGTCAGGGCAATAAAAGTTGGGTTTCAGTTGATGATACATGAAGAAGACTGGAAATCCTACCTACAAGGAATTTCATTTTCTTCATTTATGCGGTGCATATCAAAGAAAATGATGTTCAATCTTTAGTTTTTTAAAGACTATACATTAACTGAGAAAA